TGAATAGAAATCTACTAAAGGCTCTAGCTTAGCTCTCTTAAAGGCGATTTTATATAGTTAGATAGCCTGCTATTAACTTAGTTTATTAGATATAAGTTTATATCTTACTAAATAGAATTACTATTAGTAATTACAAATCTCTTATCTTTTATTATCTCCTAAAGTCCCAAATACTTATAGCCGGTTTTCTAGGGCTACAAGTTCCTTACTAATTTGGATAAAGTCTAGGTAATATAAAAGGTTATCTTCTATCTTTATAAATAAAAAGTATAATTACTATAGATTATACTAGAGAGAGAAGCTATAGAAAGTATTAATATAAATAGTATAATATTTCCCGCCAAATATATTTAATTAACTATTAATTATACTTATATTATCTATATATAAATAAAAAAAGATATTAGGATTAGTATAGCTATTGAATTTTATTCTCTCTATTATTAAATAGCTATTAGCTTTACTATTATTAGTATTTCTCTAGTTAATATATTATTAAAGAGTCTTTACTATCTATACTAATAAGAGCCTCTTACTACTTTATATAAAATATAATATTTGTATTTATTCTAGTATAATAACCTATATCTACTATCCGCTTACTATATAAGCCTGCTATTTGGATCTTTTCTATAGAGCCTTTAGTAGATATAACTTGGAAGAATAGTATCTAGTTTAGTTCCTTTTTAATCCAAAGTTTAAATAGAATTCTATCTAGAAGTACTAGGATCTCAAAAATATCTTTAATAGTTTAATAGTTCTAGAAAGCCTTATCTACTATAGTAATAGCTATAACAGGTATAATCGGATTCGTATATAAAAGTTCTATATTCTTATAAAGGATATACTTTAGCCTATAATTATATAAAATAATTAATATAATAGTTCTATTAATATATAAAGGCTAGAAGAAACAATTACCTTTTATATGGAATATATATTATATCTTTTATATCCCTTATAATATAAATAGTAAGCTTTACTATTTCTTTCTTATTCTTAAAAACTATAAATATAATATTCTATTTAAAATAAATATAATACTTCTAATTAGTAGCTCTAGAGATACTAGAAATACTTACCTTATATAGTAATCTGCAGCTATTATTATATTATATTCCGGACTCGAAATATTCTCCTATTCTTAATAATATATAAATAAAGTTCAAGGATACTATATAATTATAAATAAGGATTTATAGGTATATATATTAATACTAGTCTTTCTACTAAAGATACTTAATTAGAATAATTAAATAGGCCAGTATTATAAAATATCGAGGCTATTAGTCTTTAGAAAGTCCTAATAACTTTCTTAGTAGTCCTTATATATACTAGAAATAGATAGTTAGACCTTATATAAATAGGAAACGCAAGTAATCTATAATAATTCAAGACTTATATAATATATAGACTCTAATACTATAGATAAGACTGGTATATCCTACCGGACTAAACCTATACTAAGGTCTGCCTATAATTAAAGAATATAGTATATAGATATTCCCTTTCTCTTATTTCGAATAGCTTATCTAATATCTTCTATAAAGTACTTTATATCTATTATAGCTTTTTCGATTTCTATAGTATTTCCGGTTTCGGCTATAAGGGTTATATTTTTATTTCTTATCTTATATCTATTTAGCTAGTATAGGTATAATTAGTAAAGAATTTTACCCTCTACCGGTATAGTAACTTTATACAGAAACTCACTTATTCCAGAAATCTAATATATAGTTATAGTTATTACTAGTATCTTATTCTAGTTCTTTTCGGATAATATTACTATTAATACCAGATTCCGCTACTGGTTTAAGACTATTTGCTTCTATATTATCCCAAAATTTCTCTATACTCTGCTTTTTTCTCCCTATTTGGTTATTACAAAAATAGTATAAGAAGCAGGGAGTCAAGAAGAATAGTAAGATAAACAAGATAAATAAGATAAGGAAGAATAGAGAATATACCGGTAAAAGAGATAATAAAACTCGAGTATTGAGAGAAAAGAAGATATTGGAAGAATATAAGGCTTATATATAAATTACCAGAGAAAGACGAGCGAGAAGCATATTTTGTCAGGGCTGGTTTATAGAAAAGGTCTAAAATTGGATCCTGGGCTTTATATATAGTAATGTCTAGAATGGGCTCCCTGAGTAGCTTCGGCAAAAGTTGACTAAAAAGTGAGTACCCCTGGTTGAGAGCGAGCAGGAAAGAGAGGGAAAGAGTTGTAAGAGAGCCGAGGGTAAGCGACGAGAGAGTAAAGCGGCCACGATTAGTCAGCCATAAACCCCGCTGGATACTGAGTCTCTAATCTTAATATATATATATATATATATATAAGGAAGTTAGAGGGAGAATTAGAAGCTGAGGGCCTATTTTATAGATATCTGGGGCCAAAAATGACTCAAATAGAAGCCTGAATAATTCAGATTAAGCTATAAATCAAGCTATAAATTATATAGTTATTTGGTATAGTTCAGATAATACGGGCAAAATAATTGGCTAGGGCCCTAGAAATAGAGCTATAAAGCTGTGAATTATATAGTTATTTAGTATAGTTCAGACTATAGGGCTAAAGTAATTGGCTGGGGCCTTAGAAATAGTTATATGAAGCTGTGAATTATATAGTTGTTTAGTATAGTTCAGATAATGGAGTCAAAATAATTATGTATGGCCTTAGAAAAATGGCGAAAATGGTGAAAATCAGGCATTGACCCTTTTGGTCGCTATAGTCAACCAGACTGACGTGGCCACCCCACCCCAAAAAACCACCACTCCTCCTTTTATTGGCGATGTCTCAACAACTATATACCTAGAGGCTTCAAAAAGAAGGTTGATTATTATTCGTGAAAGCAACTTTCAAACAAGGCCAAATTAAAGTAATTAAGCTACTGTGAGAAGCTTTAAAGCGTGCTGATTAACTCTTTCTAATTAATGCGATGGAATTCAAGCATATACTGAGAGTGTTGGAAGTAAGGTCATATAGCCGTGGCTTTACTGACGTCCTTCTCTCCGGAGCCAGTCACGTGTAAACGAGTTCTAATTAGGCACCGAGGCATCGAGCTCCTTACCAGAGCTCCTGCCTCAACTAACTCAAATAAGAACCACTCAATCTTACGCAACCAGAATATCGCTATATTAACGCCGTGCCACGTATAGTGAGTATACTAATAGAAGGCATTACTAATTTAAAAAACATATTTATTAGTTTAGAAAGAAAGTTATTATTAGTTATATTTCGGACCTAAATAGTAGTGGTTTTTTATATTAACTTAGCTATATCTATAATATTACTAATTAATTACTAGTTACTTGCTTTAAGAAAATAGTTAATATTCAGTTATACTTAATTCTATTTATTATAAAAAGGAATATTAGGCTAGAGTACATATTATATTATATAATATAATAAATTTAATTAGCTTTATTAAGTATTTTTTACTTTATTAGAGTTTTTATATTAAAAAAATATATAAATATATAAATTTATTAAGATATTAAATCTATTGTTTATTAAGACTTATAATTTCAATTACTTAATTACTTCTTTAATATTTAAGCTATAATAAACTTATTTATAATTAAAGAATTAAATATTAAATATTTTATTTTATTATTAATTAGTCTTATTCTAATATTATAAGATATTTAGATTTTATTAAAAAGTAAATTCAAATAATATATAATATATTAGAATAATACTAATTAAAAGAGCTAGTTCTTTATTACTTTTAATTAATAAATAAATTAATAAACTAATTATCTATATTTTTTAATTATAAGAAATATATTAATTATTTTATTTCGAATTTATTTAGAGTATTTTCATATATAAAATAATAAATGAGTATATTATTAGGTATATATTAGCTAAGAGAAACTATTTTAAATATATTAATTAGTTAAATTACTCTTTACTAAAGTTAGTAAATAAAAGCTATAATAATAAATATAAGAATATAATTTACTAAAAATAGAATATTTGAAATAGATATAAAATAAAGCTAAACCGGAATTATTTAAATAGAATAATACTAAAGATTAAGGTATTCTTTCTATTTTATTCTATAATTTAGTATTTTTTAATATATAAGATTCTTTAAACTTTAAGCCTTTAATTATTATATTAATTCTACTATTATAAATATATTAAAAATTCGCCCTTTAAAAATGTTTTTCTAATTATAAGAAAAGCCTATATTTATTTTAAGAAAAAGAACTAGTTAATTATTAATTTAAAGTATTATTATAAATATATTATATTTTTAATAAAAAGCTATTTTATTCTTTATTTATATCTTGTTTTTATATAAGATATTATTACCTTATCTAAATTGAAATATATCTCATAATAAATAAAAGAGTATAGTATTTTATTAATTAAATAGCAAGTATATTCGCCGGACCTAAATCTAATAGAAATAGAATAGAATTTAATAAAATAATAAATAGAGAATAATTATAGAGTTGAAACTAATAATTCTAATTACTTGGTGCTTTATTTAAGGCTAAAGTCGATTATATAGGCGGTATTAGATATTATTATAGAGTAGTATTTAGATAGCTTAATAGTTTCTATATAGAATAGAGTAAGGCTATAGTTAATACTAAAGGTTATAACGGCGGGATCGAGGCAATGGCCAGGGCTCAAAGATCCAAGAATCTCATGTATTGAAAATACTAAGCTAAAGAGAAGAAAGAGAGGGAGAGAAGGAGAGGGAGAGAAGGAAAGGGGATAAAAGAAGGGAAGCACTAGCTAAAACCACTGAAACGCCGGCTAGCTAGGTGAAACCAGTCATGTGACAGCCACCCCCATATGGCCCCCAGCCAGCGCCGTCACAAAGGTGGTCGTACACGGCACTAGAAATATAAGCCATTACGAGCCTGATCGCATAAGTCTGTGCTTTTAGCGATGTTTCCAGGCCTTGCGAAACCAAAGTCGATGACTTTGCCTTGTATTTATTTAAGAACTACTAACCCTATTTTCTTTAAACTCGAGCGCATAAGATAAAAGAAGTTAAATCGGGTTTAGAAACCTTATCCTAAGCAATTATGAAAAAAGTCGGAATTGTCAAAGTTCTCTTCAGTGAACAATCGTTAGCGAAATGCCCTAAAAGCACAGACTTATGCGATCAGGCTCGTTAGCTAATCAATTTGAGACGGCGATGGCGACCTAAAATGACTTACCTATGCACTACCAGTACACCAATATGTGTGTCCTAGGCCACCTCCAAGTCATTCTCGTGTACTACCGCTCCGCCTCTCGCAGACTCTCCGTTCTCGAAACACAGCGTGTACCGCGCAACCGAAGGCACTGATTCAACCAAGTACGGCCCATCCCGTCTGCCGCCGCTCAATATAACACGCACACTGTCACCAGGACGAAATTTGCTCGTCTCCGTGACCGTCAAGTCAGGTCTTCGGTGATAGTGCGAAGAGGCGGGTTATACTTACCTGGACGTACACTTTTACCCCCGGACGGTCGCCACCGGAGCCGGAGACGATAGTTTGTGACTGCGCACTTTGATCACTTTGCGATGGTGTGGCCTCTTTTTCTCTCGAGAGCCCATCCCGGCTGCTCAACTCTTGATCTGCTTCGCTCATTGCTTCGAAAAATTATACTGTTCGGAGAAAGAGGCAGGGTTGACCGGCGCCTAGAGCAGATACCTATTGGGAGAAAGAGAGCAGTCCACGTTTAAACAACGATTGCGTGGTGAAAATTCTGCAAATCCACCAAAAAAAAGCAATTTTCACTAACAAAAAAAAAGCAACTTCGATGCCTCATTCTCCCACCAATAGCCCGAATGGGGTTAAAATTAAGCGTGGGATGACAAAGAGATACTATAGAATAAATTTGTCTCTTCGGATTTTTTTCTTCTCTTCAGGGTTGTTTTCGGTATGCTGTTTTTAATATTTTGCTATAAAACGCACTCCGTTAGTATATATGATCAATTGCATGCAATAACGCGCGCATCACCACGTGACCAGCTTAGCTAGCCCGGGGTTATTGAACTAGCTAAATAAAGAAGCTAGGATCACGTGCTTGCAATATAAATCAAGTAAAACGTACAGATTTAACTACTATTCTACAGTAATAAGTAGCCTATATATATAGCCCTGAACTCCCTAAGTTACATGCACTAAACCCCTAAACCAGAGAGCCTTATATTGAACCATTCAACCTCAGCTGAACCGATTTAGCCTCACAGGGCATAATATACTCAGTAATAAGCCTATGGCTTAAGCCCCATTAGTGCACAGCCCCTAAGGCTCCGTTCCAGTGCATTTAGCCCCAGGGCGTTCAGCCCATGGCTTACTAAGCCTATTAGGGGCCTCAGGCCCCTAATTTCAATAATCATCTACCCCAGGCTCAAATTGCGGCCTCACAAGTGTCACAACCAATGGACCCCCACCCCATCGACTCTTGCTTCATTGACTTGGAATACATCGACTCTCCCCCTGCTGACTCTTACTCCATTGACTCCCACTCCGCTGGCTTTCATTCCCTCGACGCTCTTTCTGCCGATCCTCAATCCATAAATTATCATCGGAGTTGAGCCGTCAAGTTTCGGCGGTTGATTCAGCTTATAGTAGGCCAAATAATGAGAGTAGACATAGATTTAGGTAAGCAGATAGTGAGAAAGTTTAAGCAATTTACGAAGAATCATATTATTATGATGCAATGACATCTAATTGGATAGGACGCCGCTTACAAATGCTAGGGCCGGTTGCCGCCAGTATCAACTTCCGGAACAGCAAGTGTCCTGGAAGCTAGCATAACTGACTCAGTAATGAGCTCCCCGACCGTCAACAACCCGGGACAGCATCACGAGTGTTTGGTTACTGTAGGTTCACTTTTGTTTAATGCAGCGCTTCAACTTGGTCGATATAAAACATCAGCTGACATGATCACTGTCACCCCAGTTGGCCTGCCAAAGGTACTTCCAGCCGACAAGCATAGAATTTTGAGCCTAACGCAAGTATTTAGGACTATATTCACACTTTCTGTTACATGCACACGATGTGGACAATTATTAATTGAAAGTCTATCAACTGCGGGAGAGATGAAACTCACTATATCCTTTGGCGATCCTCAAACACTGCTGGGCGCTAGTCCTCGTGAATTAATCACCGCATGCATGAGTTAATCCACCACTCTAAGAGCTCCACCGTCCAGTCTACACATTTCTTGAATAATCCCTGCTGATAGACTATTTTTTTAAGTGGTCTCCTAACGCGTAGGTACCACCAATCCATTCGCACTAGCGTGGTCACTGGCCTGGTCCGCCCTTTATCCGATGGAGGTGAGGTAACACACAACAGCGCCGACCCTTCTAGTGCTGCCCAATATCAACTTTGATTTTTTTTTTTTACCACTGACCTTGACATTATTGCCATGCGCAAGGGCATTTAGAAGAGTTCACTGGCCAACCGCCCAAATTACTCAACCGCCCAACCTAAAAATCTTAATATTTAATCAACGCCTTAATAAAATTATAATTCCTATTAAATACTAATACTTTATAGTATTCACAACCACCTAATGGCTGTATATTACTTTAAAACTATATAGTATTACTAAAATTATTTATTTAGTAGCATTTTTGGCATTTTCCCACTGATTTTTACCCTACTATCTCTATCCCTTACTAATTCCTATATAATTAATTATATATCTTATATAACGTTCTAAGTTCTTTAGTAATATATGGCTTAATATATAGCTTAATATAAGAGAGTATATTAGAAGGTTTTTTGTATTATTATAATAATATTTCTTATTAAATTTTCTTTAGAATAAGAATTAGTAACTTGCATTTAGTGAAGTAATAAGCCTAAATTTAAGTACCTAATTCTTGGGGCAAAGAAACACTTATACTATATAAATATTTAATTATAATTTAGGTACTATTCGATTTTTTAATTATAAAAGCTCGTATATTAATCGAATTTGCAATTATCTAATAAACCTTATACCTTCTTTTAATTAGCTAGCTACTTCTTGCCTTACTAATAAATGCTGTCTTGTCTTTATATCTTATATCTTTGGTTTTGCTTTATTAATTTGATCTCAAAGGGTTTTATATACAATTCTATACTCTCTCGTATATTTCCCAATAGATTTAGTCTTCTTGTAATCGAGATATTATTATGAGCCGTCTACAGTCGGTCCGATCCAAAAGCAACAAATAAAAATAAAAATTACCATAATACTAGTTGATATAAATCGTATTAATTAAAACGATACTATATACTCTAGGGATTAATTCTATACTCTCGAAATTATAATATCTTTATTATTAAGGGAGTTATAATATATGTAATTAAGCGAGCAAATATATTCGCGTTTTGTATAGTCATTTTTTTACTTTGTTGTCACGTGACTGCCCCCCTCCATTGACCGCTCTTCCACGATTATATTAATATCTCAACAACCACAAATACAATTAAGTGCCCCTCTTGAATACTTCCAATGGCTACCTCTGTAAACCTTCAGAAACGCAAGCGAGCTGATTCAACTCTTGATTCAATCACAGTTCTCACCATAGCTAAAGAAGCTGCAATCCAAGCGACTATTGACGAACGGCATGGGAAACCCTCTAATATAGAGGATAATTCTGATAATTCAGATATTAAACCAAGTAATAAAGAGCTTGAAGATTCGACCCTCTTTTGGGTTCAGCGGAAGCTTCTTATTAGTGGAAATAAGACGATTATTTTGGAGAAGCCTACAGTTACACAGCGAGATCAGAGACTTATAGAACAAACTAGTAAGTTTCTTACTTATTTACTTATTTTTATATTATAATATAAGTATACTAAGAATATTTCTAGCTTCCAGAGGCTCGTATTACTCCAAATTAATAAAGGAATCAGCAAAGCCATTGAGAACTCAACAAATGCATGCACATAACCAGAGGGCAAAAGATGCTCAAGCTATAGCGCAATCTAGTAGGCTTAAGACCCCTATAATTATACCATCTTTTAAACAAAAGAGGCTACAATTCGACATTATTAGGGGGCCAATTGATATCCCTAGGGATGTGCAATTAAGGGAAGAGCAAAGGCTTGAAGATGAAGACAATGGAGCGAACGAACTACTTCTGGATGCCCTTATTAGAGATGCTTGTGGATATGACGAAGCTCTAGACGTACGAATAACTTATCAGGAAGTCCTTGACGATGTGGATATAAAGCTAGCACGAACAAAAGACCCCTATACCTCCCGTATAATCGCTGACTTACACTTACTCCGGCAATATACCCAACAGCTTATAAAGCCAGGGCAATATCGGCTAGGAAGAATCGATGCATCTCTCTTAGTAGCCGCCAGTAATCATCGTTTTAACGATGGAAAGACGCTTGCTCGGCGAATCAGGGGGTTATTTAATTACTATCGACAGTGGCATGGTATTCCGCAAGAGGCTAGGGGTAGTAAAAGAAATGGAGCGTCTTATCTGGATAACGAGGACGTATTCTTAGCCTGTCGAACTTGGTTGATTAATCAAGAGCTTGGAACAATATCACCAAACGATTTCCTAAATGCCGTTAATCAGGAGATTTTACCTCGATTATTATCGATAATTAACAAGCCTATTGCTCGCAGTACAGCTTACTTATGGCTCCCTAGGCTCGGCTTTTATCGCCATGAGACTAAGAAAGGGCTTTATGTGGATGGACACGAACGACCTAATATAATTCAGTATCGTCAAGAGGTGTTTTTACCACTAATAAACGAGCTTTTATCATATACAGTTCAATACGAGGAGGATAAAGCTGGTGCGTGGCATACGATTCAACCTATACTCCCAATTGGGGGTCAGGTGCACGTAATATACTTCCACGACGAGAGCTGTTTCCATGGTTTCGATTATAAAAAGAGCCTCTGGCTAGCAGATAATCAGCAAAAAATGCCCGGAAAGAGTAAAGGGAGGCTAATTCACGATTCTGAGTTTGTGGGCCCTGAGGGGCGTATCAGGGTGCCAAATGATAAAGGCATCTTTATCCCAGACGACCCCAATTTGGATGCCCGTCAAATTATATATCCAGGCTCAAATGGAGACCCCTGGTGGGATACAAAACAGCTACTAGTTCAGATTACTAGGACGCTCGATATATTTGAACAGAAGCACCCAAACTGCATAGCTGTTCTAATATTTGATCAGTCTTCTGCACACGCTTCGCATGGCGAAGGTGCACTGAACGCCTTTAGTATGAATAAGGCACCAGGGGGGGGTTGAAAAGGGTAATATCAAGCCCTATGGGAGGGATACATATTTCCCACCGGAGTGTACGATTCCGGGGCTACAGGGCACCATTCAAGTCCTTTGGCAACTTAATCCGAATGGAGAAAGAGAGCCTAAGGGTGTGGAACAGATTCTCATTGAGCGAGGTTGCAATATCCCTGGCTTAAGATTTAAGTACCCAAAGGGTACTAGGTGTACTACACCCCTTGAATACCCTCCCGCTATCGAACAAACGTGCTGTTTAGCTCGTATTCTATCGAATCACCAAGACTTCTTTGAAGAGAAGTCTCAAGTTGAAGAGCTTATTACGGAGCGAGGGCATAAGGCTGTGTTTTTACCGAAGTTCCACTGCGAAATCAACCCAATTGAGATGTATTGGGGGTATAGCAAAACTCGATATCGTCAAGTAAAGAAGACTAGCTTCCCAGATGCCAAAGCTAAGGTA